TCTAATAGAATTTGAATATGTCATTTCTCCTAGGATAACAAATTTCATTTTTTTTATCTTTTAAACTCAAACTTTTTATCATATCTTTATATATTTAAAAAGGTTTAATCATTATTAAGGATAAAGAGAAGTGTTTATCTTCTATGAAATAGAATTTAGGAACTATCTCTATACACCAAATTAAGAAGAGAGTAATATAACATTCTTAATTGAGAGTTTTTCTAGGTTGATGCCTAGAATGTAATTAACCGCGGGGCTTACGCCCGTTGGAAATCAACCTCCACATCAAATAAACCTCATTCGTAAATGAGGGAAATCTCGTGATATTTTGGTTTATACATATTATTATCCATGGAGATGTGTAGGCGAATGCCGTTATCCTTCATGGCTAATCATGTGTATGACTCCATCTACTCTTCCATTGGCCTGCTTGCATAGAGTGTAAAGGCCTATGACCACTTTGTCCTACGGGATAGTGCGGCCGTACTCTTTACTTTCTATTCCCCACGAGCAGAATCCTTTTGGAGACCCACAACCACTTTGGATGGCTTTTCAGAACTTGATATATAGGGCAAGTCTCTAAAGGTGAGTCTTCAAGATTAGATTACAAGTCCTTGAGAATAGATGGTGAGTCCTCTTGGCTGAAGTTGTTGCTGGCTTGTGATGAGTTTGATACAAAGAGTTATTATGGATTATATATGTGGATGCTTCTTGTTACTTGATCCAAAATACCCATGGGAGGTTGGTATTTTTTATTGTAAACCATTGCTATGGGATATAGAATTATCTTAAGAAAACTTCTTTTTGGATCAAAAACCTATTGGGAAAGACCTTTGGAGGAGCCCAATGAGGAAAATTGCACATTTGGTTTGATCTTCTAGGGTGAATCTTTATATTTTGATCTCCATATGGGTGAGTAGCTACTTGGACACAAGCTGGTGTTAGTGAATCCTTTGGAGGGCAAAGCTTCCTTAGGGTGAGGGCTGATTTAACTGTGTGCTCTCCAAATTTGAGTCCCATGAATTGGAATCTGATGAGATACCCTAAACCCTAAACCCTAAACCCTAAACCCTAAACCCTAAACCCTAAATCCTAAACCCTAAACCCTAAACCTACGTATGAGTTACATACATTGGCATGTATGTGTACACAAGGATATCCTAATATAATTTATGTCAAGTTGGCTTAAGAGCCTTTAGATTTAAATTATGATTAATATTTATATATAATATCATGAATGACACTAATCTCACAAGAAATCCAAAGGCAAAGTTCATCAGGAAGTTATTTTTTCACCAAAAATTTAGCTCAATCCCACCAAAGATAGCACATGACAGCCCTTAAACGAAGATCTCACAGAAGGAACCCTAGCAGCCGAAGAAGATGAGCTACCTGAGACAACATCTTTAAAGGATCGATTCTTACTAATCAGAACCAAAGATGCCAGAGGGATGGATGACGTAGGAGACGTCATCCCCCCCCCTCCCCAACTACCAACAGAACCACAAAACACCACAACGACAAGAAGAAAAAAATAGTCGAAGGAACGAAAAGAAACCCAAAGAAGGGACAGAGCCAGAAAAGGAACAAAGTTACCGCAAGGAAACAGATCAGCACAAGCGAAGATCACCGGAAGAGACCGATCAGAGGCCTCGAGCAAGAGCAGAGAGAGCACCACAAAATCGCCCAGGTGGTGAATTTTTTTTAATAATGTTACTTGTCTGTCTTTTTAAAGTTTTTTTTTGGCTTTTACAAAAAAGTGTGAAAAATTTCTTTAGGATTACTGGATTCAAATTTTCCCATGGATGATACCCAACCCTACTAATAGGTGTTTAGTAGAAGATAATTAGAGAACCAAGTGAGAACATGTTTAGTATAGAGGTTAAGTGGAAACCTCTAATATCTTTGTGAATAATTCCTATAGTATGATGTCTAAACTATGCATCTCACCTCTTGTTTATAGAGTTAAGAGGGCTACATGAAAGATTGCGCATAAAATAAATAAAAAAATAGTCCATGTAATGTGATCAGTGTAAATAGCATAGATATTTGAACTAGCTAAAAAGATGTACATGTGGACCCCTATCTTTGACGATCCCTTCTCTTTGACAAGTATATTGGATGAGTCTTTAGGAGAGACCATTTTGGATGGCTTTTAGAACTTGATATATAGGGAAAGTATCTAAAGGTGAGTCTTCAAGAACATATTATAAGTCCTTGAGAATAGATGGTGAGTCCTCTTGGCTGAAGGTGTTGCTGGCTTGGGATGAGTTTGATACAAAGAGTTATTATGGATTCTATCTGTGGGTGCTTCTTGTTACTTGATCCAAAATACCCATGGGAGGTTTGTGTTTTTTATTGTGAACCATTGCTATGGGATAGAGAATTATCTTAAGAATACTGCTCTTTGGATCAAAAACCTATTGGAAAAGACCTTTGGAGGAGCCCAACAAGGAAAATTGCACATTTGGTTTGACCTTCTAGGGTGAATCTGTATATTTTGATCTCTATATGGGTGAGTAGCTACTTGCCCACAAACTGGTGTTAGTGAATCCTTCGGACGGCAAAGATTGCTAAGGGTGAGTGCTGATTTAATTGCATGCTCTCTGAAGCTATCCCATGAATTGGAATATGATGAGATACATATGAGTTACATACATTGGCATGTATGTGTACATAAGGATATACTAATATAATTTATGTCAAGTTGGCTTAAGAGCCTTTAGATTTAAATTATGATTAATATTTTTATATAATATCATGAATGACACTAATCTCACAAGAAATCCAAAGGCAAAGTTCATCAGGAAGTTATTTTTTCACCAAAAATTTAGCTCAATCCCACCAAAGGTATTTAAATTTATCTAAAAGTTTAATTTTGGAATATAATACTGCATTTATTTTGAAATTTTAGAAGAATGATTCTATTTATACTATATAGTGCATAATTTTCCCCAATTGTAAAGTTTTTGTTTAATTAAATAAAATTGTTATGCTCCTCTTTAATTAATGATTAATTCTAATGATGCATGGATGTTATTAATGACTTCATAAGCTAAATTATTTTTAAGATGTAGTTACACTAAATTGAGAAGATTTTTTACTTATTTATTATATATAAAGGGCTGATATAAAATAAATATACTAGTTATGAAGAAATAAAACTAAAAAAAATAGGGCTTAAAACTAGATGTATTCCTTTTTTTTTTCAAAATCCTCTTTAAGCATAGAAATTTTATATAAAAATCTAGAATATAATGGCTCTTCATGCATACTATATTTTCGTTTATCATCCCATCTATGGGATAAGAAGTTAGAGTTCTTTAGAAGAGCATCATTCTCATATCTGATTGATGAAGAAGCAAAATTTAAAGGAGCATAGTTACAGGTCTACATGGCCTTTATATGATAAGGGTGTTAAAAGCGGTCAATGGGTGTGTCCAACCTAAATTGATCTTGGTCTAAACGGGTTGACTCTAACCCAACTCAGTTTTGCAAATGAGTTAGGAATTGCAACCAGAAAAGGACCAGTGCGGATTACCAGGTTGACCCGACCCTACTTGAGAACTCACAACTGCATATTCCATGCATTGAGTTCGGACACGAATACAAGTGGCTGAGTAGGAATGCACAGGCGAGGTGAGAGGGAATGGGAAGTAGGGCTAAGGAACGACAGCATGATGCAGGATGAGGGATCTAGCGTCTAGCGTGACCACATTGGCACGAGTGACTGAGTGGGAATGCCCAAACGAGGAAAGCTTGGGCTGTAGGTGAAGAAAATATGGGTTGCAACCAATGGATTGCAGGGTCGAGTCGTGACTCACGAGCGCAGGAACAGGGGTGGAGCAACTAGCACAGGGGGGGAGTATGCCGAAGTGGGTGAGCTAGTGTGAGTCGAGGATGCTAGCTGTGAGGTTGATCTAGGTCAACTCAAACCCGACCTGATTTGTAAACAGGTCAAAAACTCAAAATTGACCTATATGTCACATGGGTTGACCTGAACCCAACATTTTTTGGGTCAGAGTCAGTCTTTGGGTCATGTCAAATATTGACAGCCTTAGTAGTGCGTGTGTTTGTGTGTGTGTGCGTATCAATAAAAGGAGCATTTGAACTTGTGCCAACTACTATTTGTTCTCAAAGATCAAGCTAATTTAAGAGCCTAGAATAATTCATGTGAGCTTCTTAATTACAATCAACCTTATTAGAGCAATAAGTTCATTATGAGTAAGGAAAAAATTAAACATAAGTGGTACTCACCAACAAAAATTAGTAGCCAAGACAAGGTCCCTCTCTCAAGCCATCCCAATCTTTCTTATAATGCATCAAGAATTAAAATTATAAGTTCACAGGTCACATTAACACACATATTTGTTAACTTGTATTTTACAAACACATTCCATATTAAATTAACCATTGTACTTGATTGAAATTCAATTGTGATTAATTTGAATTTAAGATGAATAGCTAGGTGAGCTCAACAAATATTACAATCAAATGCATGCATTAATCATTTAATGCTTATGCTCTTGTTTTGATTAAAAAAATATCATTTAAGTATATATAGTTTTGAAAAATATTTAATTATCTTTGGGGATATTTAATTTTTAAAATTTTGAAATTGAATGCATCATTATGAACAGTATATCACCTCGGGAGGTGATCATATCGTTCTCTAACGAGTTCATATTTTAAAATTTTAAATTCATCCAAATTATCGTAGTCAAACTCAAGGAGGAACGACATATGATCT